TTGTCTAAAAAAAAACAATGAGAAAACCATGCAAGGGATCGCAGCACAATCCCTGCCACGCAGAGGAGGCAAAATCAATATGAAGGGTTAAAACGATTGTTTCACTGATGAAAAAGGGAAGTACTCATCCAAGTTAGAAAAATACCTTGGCCCTGGTAGCCAGCTTACAGTTCATGAATTCGTCCCCAACACACTGTGCTGATTCCTTTAACTTGTTCTGCACATCCTGCAAAAGGAAAAGAGAAAACTTCACCCTCTTCTACTAGCAACGAGAAAGCTCATGTGAGGCGAAGGTCACCGTGGAGCAGGGTGTCATCCTTCCTTAGGAGAAATACACTTATGTGTGTTGGCTTTGACTTTAGGATGCTGCAGTCTCTTGACTCTCCCTTAGATGTCTTTCTCACTGAACAGGACAGCCTGGCTTGGTTGCAGGAGCAACACAAACCTGCAGCTTCTCTCCAGAGGCACGGCCCTCCATCCGCAGACCTGGGGGCGACTCTCCAGAGGCACGACCTCTGTATCCACAGGCTGGGGGCAGCAGCAGCCCCAGAGACAGACGGCAGATGCCTGAGACCCTGGTAGATTCCAAAAGCGCAATAGAACAGGGCGAAAGTGTCTTCCTTCCTAGGAATGCATCCATGGCACCAGGAACACCAGAGCCCAGGGAGCTGCTGGGCAGATCAAGGACAGGCCCAACCCCCGGCACTGGAGCCCTCTCACCTGAACGAGCCTTCAAATCAGGAGGCACCCAGGAGATACAAAGGGAAACCCTAATGTGCAGCTGCTCACGCATCCAGGAACTCTAGAATTTCAGAGATGCCTTAAACATCATCTGACTCAACTCTCATTTCACAAAAAAAAAAAAAAAAAAAAACACCTGAGGTCAAACGTGTAGTCCCAGCTACTCAGAGCCTGAGGCGGGAGGATTGCTAGCCTGGGTAACATAGTGAGACCTCATTTCTAAAAACAGAAAGGAAGCAAGAAAACTGAAGCCAGGAAGTGACAGATAATGCTATCTATGGAAAGGCCATAGGGAGTGTCCTGCCCCTAGAACAGGAGGGTTGCCCACCTGTGACCCACCACACCCCTCCTCCCGCGGCTCCTCTGCTGAGAGCCTCAGCCCCACCCAGGTCCTGCCACATTCCTCTCTGACAATCCAGATCTCCTTCTAATGGAACGTTTCCACCCCCAGGGCTCAAAAGATCCTATTGCCTGCTCTAGGTATGCCCAGGGGCATCCCAGGGACAGGCCACCCTCCTATAGGGCGAAGTCCCCTCTGCCTCAAGGGAAATGAAGACAAAAGGAACCAAGACTTGTGTGAAGTCAGCCTGGGAGTGGTGGTGTCTTCCTGCAGCAGGGAGGAGGGCAGAGGCCCTCAGGTTCCCATTCAAGAAGGGGTTTCCCTAAAATAGAAGAGAGTCTGGAAACCTCTATTCCAGTGTAGCCCCCGCCTCTCCCCACACAGGGAGAGGGTCCTCTAGGCACAGGCTGAGAGGCAGCACAGAACCCGACTTCCTTGGAGGGCTAGCAGGTGCCTCCTCCTCAGGAAGCAGGAGCTTTGCTGCAGGGTTTTCCTTTGAGACAGGGTCTCACTCTGTCACCCAGGCTGGAGTGCAGTGGCACAATCACAGCTCACTACAAGCTTGACCTCCTGAGTTCAAGCGATTCTCAAGCCTCAGCCTCCCAAGTGACTGGGATTAAAGGTGTGCACCACCATGTCTGGCCTCAGTTCTGTTTTGTTTTAGTAGAGAAGTCTCCCTATGTTGCTCAGCCTGGTTTCAAACACCTGGGCTCAAGAGACTTTCCCACCTTAGCCTCTCAAAGCATTGGGATTAGAGGCATGGACCACCGTGTGCCCAGCCGAGCTATAGCTTCTTTTTTTTTTTAATGGAATTTCACTCTGTCACCCAGGCTGGAGTGTAATGGCACGATCTCAGCTCACTGCAACCTCTGCCCCCAGGTTCAAGCAATTCTCTGTCTTTGCCTCCCTAGTAGCTGGGATTATAGGTGCCCGCCACCATACCCAGCTAATTTTCTTATTTTTAGTAGAAACAGGGTTTCACCATCTTGGCCAGGCTGGTCTTGAACTCCTGACCTTGTGATCCACCCACCTCAGCCTCCTAAAGGGCTGGGATTACTGGTGTGAGCCACCACACCTGGCGCTATAGCTTCTTGACATTCACTAAGGCTGTGAGGCAGCCGCTGGGAGGAAGGAGTCCCACTCGGATGTCTGGCTGAGCACATGTACAAGAAGTTGATTCCCAGGTGCAGGTCTGTGCTGTGGCTCTGACAAGGAGGCTCAGCGTGCTTTCTCAGTGCTCCACAGTCAGACAGGGCTTTGTTTTAAGTGAACACTTCTTCCCATCTGGAGTCTCTCATCTCCCTAAACCCTCCAAACCATCCAGTCTAAAACCTCAAAGTGACCTCAGAGACCCAAGATCTCCACGTAGATTTACAAAATCCTGCCAAGTCAACACCAGGGACACCTCTGAAAATCACATTCAGGCTGTTATCTGGACAGGAAAGAAGTGTTGTCCATGTCATTCCTGCTGGGCGTCCAAACAAGGGACCAGGAGGATAAGAAACCAAGCCTGAGAGAGGAAAGAGCAGCTCCGGAGGCTCAGGGGCTCCTGGGACAGGGATACACACAGGGCGGACACACTCACCGAGCCGCTGAAGGACAAGAAGAGCTTGAGAACCACATCCTCGGAGAACAGGGGGTGCCGTGCCACCAGATTGACAAAGCGCTTCAGAGCTCTCCTCCTGGCCTCGATGAACTCCCTGTCAGCTGGAGGAGTGCACAGGGTCACTGGACAGAGTCCAGGGCAGCCCCTATCTTCCGCTCTCAGAGAGTTCTCAAAGCTCTCCCTAGAGGCGGCGGAGCAACCAGCGACTAGTGGAGGGCACTGGCTGGGCCCCCAGTGCTACCCAGACAACGGGCCTGCAAAAGCTGCCCAGAGCAAGAGCCCCACCCCCAAACCCTGCCTCCAGCCACACACATTTGGGTCCAGGAGCTGCCAGGGAAAACCACAGATCTGCTCCTTTCCATCAAGAGTCCTGTGAACCAAGTGAGTGGTCACTCCGATCACCTCCATTAAAGACACCTTCCATAATCCCTTCCTGGCACTTCTCTCCAGGGAAAAAATGGGTTTTGCTGGCTCCAACACTAAGGCAACACAGGTTTTCTTTTCTTTTTTTAACTCTAATTTTTTCTTGCTGGCACCATCTTGGACTTTTTGAGGTCTTTTTTTTTTTTTTTTTTTGGTTTTGAGACAGAGTTTCGCTCTTATTGTCCAGGCTGGAGTGCTGCAGCACGATCTCAGCTCACTACAACCTTTGCCTCCCAGGTTCACTCTATTCTCCTGTCTCAGCATCTGGAGTAGCTGGGATTACAGGCAGATGCTACCACACACGGTTAATCTTTGTATTTTTAGTAGAGATGGGGTTTCACAATGTTGGTCAGGCTAGTCTCAAACTCCTGACCTCAGGTAATCCTGCCTCGGCTTCCCAAAGTGCTGAGATTACAGGCATGAGCCACCATGCCCGGCCGAGAGTTTCTATTCACTGTGCTTATAGCTCACTCTGCAATGGATCCAGTTACCAATTGCTTCCATTCAGCTTAAATATTTTCACTCCAAAGGGAAAGAAAGTAAAAGCATATATTGATGCATTCAGGACATTTGGATCTGAACACAAACAAAAATGGTATTTAAATACTTTTTGTTTTCTTTTTTGAGACGAAGTCTCGCTCGTCAGGCAGGCTGGAGTATAGTGACACGATCTCAGCTCACTGTAACCTCCACATCCTAGGTTCAAGCGATTCTTCTGCCTCAGCCTCCCAAGTAGCTGGGATTACAGGCATGCACCACCACGCCCAGCTAATTTTTGTAGTTTTAGTAGAGACATGGTTTCACCATGTTGGTCAGGCTGTTCTCAAACTCCTGACCTCAGGTGATCCGCCTGTCTCAGCCTCCCAAAGTGCTGGGATTACAGGTGTGAGCCACTGGCTCCAGGCCTTTAAATACTATTTTTAAGTTATTAAGAAATACAGCCAGGTGCGGTGGCTCATTCCTGTAAGCCGAACATCTTGGGAGGCCAGCATGGGTGGATCACTTGAGGTCACAAAGTTGTACAGCAGCCTGGCCAGCACAGCAAAACCCCGTCTCTAAAAAAACAGAATAAAAGAAAGAAAACAAATAATACAGTTGCTGAGGCCCGCCTTCTGGCTTAAGAGTGGCAGGCTCCTTCCGATTAGGCTGCACTCATAAACGCCAGCACGAGTGGTGCAGTATGTGCGGGTAGTTTCCAGGCGCCGAACACCGGCCAGCGTTCATGGAGTCGGATGCCCAGGTTTGGGCCAGCATCACGCATCCCTGTCACATCCTCCATTCTCTGCTTCCCTGAGCACCCCGTGTGCCCCTCAGCGTGGTAAGAATGATCTGCTCTGTGATGTTCACATGGGGCAGGGAGAAAATCACATCATCAGGCTCTGGGCTGCTTGCTTGCTCAGTGACCCACGAGAGGCAGAAGCATTTATGCACCATTGCATGATTTCAGATGCAGGGAACTGGCCACTGTGTTAGCTCCCATGTTGCATCCCGTCCAGGACACGGCGACTGTGGAAGGGTTGGGAATGGCAAAAAGCCAGCTGATCCGCTCTAAGCACTCGCCTCCCCAGCATGTTTTATTCAGAATTTGAGAAAAGGGCCGATGGAGTGACCAACAGTGAGATTGGAGCTGGCAGCCGCCATGCCTGTGCTCTGCAGCCCCGGGGGACGCAGGCCCTGGGGGGGGTTCCAAGGTCGGCTACCATCTCCCACTGGCCCAAGGCCGTCTTCAGGAAGGGAGGTGAAGGTGTGGCAGCCATGTGCTGTTTTTTCTCTCCTGCAAGACGCAGCTTAGACTTCCTGCTTGCAAAATGTCTGTTCTCTTCCGTGAGGTCACCGAGCGCTCTCCTGGTGCCCATGGCTCAGGCTGCTCCGATGGCTTTGCAGATGCAGACAGAGTAATGCCAGCCAGGTGAGCGCATAGTGTTCCTGGCAGCCCTCTCGGGAGCTCTGGGGAGCCCTCATCACTGTGCTCTGGAGAGGGGAAGTGGGGTTCTGTTTCACAACTGCACAGCAATGCCTTCCCCATGGGTCAGTCATCCAGCCAGAGGCTCCCGTGGGCCCAGGGTGCCAGGTGCCAGTCTCCTGGCCTACACCAAGGCTGGGCTCAAGCCATAGCTCTGCCCCAGATGGCAAAAGGCTTGAGCTTCCCCACAGCTCTGCACCTACCCTGTACAAGAGGGGGTCGATCCCCGAGCCAGGACCACTGGGTCCAGGAGATGGGCTGGCTCCCCCCGCCCCCAATGGGCAGCACGCCTAGCTTTACCTCCCAGCATCCTCTTGGGTGGCAGGGCAGGCACCATCCGGTAGGGGAACTTGTGCAGGAGCATCTCCTGGAAGACCACGAAGTCGTTGTACCGTCTGTACACGGAGGACTTGAAGCGCTGCAAGAGAAGGGCTTGGTGCTTATATCCGACAGTGGAAACTGTGCCGCTTCATCACTTCCCTCAACCTGGAAAACAACAGCACCGAGCGCATCTTCCCTCACCAGGCATCTACTAAAGGAGGAACCCTGTAATGCCTTCATCTATGGCAATGTCACTTTTAAATTTTGTATAGCTCTTAGGCTGGGCGCAGTGGCTCATGCCTGTAATCCCAGCACTTTGGGAGGCCAAGGTGGGCGGATCACCTGAGGTCAGGAGTTCGAGACCAGCCTGGCCAACATGGTGAAACCCCATCTCTAATAAAAATAAAAAATAAAAAATTAGCCAGGCTTGGTGGTGCATGCCTGTAATTCCAGCTACTCGGGAGACTGAGGCACAAGAGTCGCTGGAACCAGGAGAAAGATGTTGCAGTGAGCTGAGATGGCACCACTGCACTCCAGCCTGGGGGTGACAGAGGCTGGATAAGAATAACACATTCTTCATTTCATTCATGCTATTGCAAGCATCACTGTTGTCTGCTGAAATAGCCCCAACTCTCTTAGAACAGACCAAGCGCTGATTATAAACTAATACAGAGCAGACGCTTGATCCAAACATATTTGCTTACAAACTGCATTGTGAACACCACCACGAATACAACTTCAGACTCCACAAGGTTAGCATCCTATTCACTTGAGTAGCCTAATCTGGACCTAATGAAGAGCTTACCCAGGAAACACGCATAAACAATTATTTTTAAAATTAAACATGTATGGCCCGGTGTGGTGGCTCACACCTGTAATCCCAAGACTTTGGGAGGCCAGGGCAGGCGGATCATGTGAGGTCAGGAGTTTAAGACCAGCCCGGCCAACATGGTGAAACCCCATCTCTACTAAAAACAAAAAAAAATTAGCCAGGTGTCATGGCGGGCACCTGTAATCTCAGCTACTTGGGAAGCTGAGGCAGGAAAATCACCTTAACCCAGGAGACAGAGGTTGCAGTGAGCTGAGATCAGGCCACAGCACTCCAGCCTAGGCAACAGAGTGAGACTATCTAAAAAAAAAAAAAAAAAAAAAAAAAAATTAAACATATGATTTGAAGCACAGTGTCCCCACCTCTACTCAGCACACATCTGCTTCACGTTGCATTTCCCAGGCTCCAGCATGGAGGCTGGGCAGGCACATGACTGGAGAACGCACCCGGCAGAGGTTTCCCACCTGGTTGGTGGCTGGCCAGCTGGCCCATGACAGCATCAGGGGGTGACCAAATTGCCCCTTAACAATGTTCCCTACATGGCAATGAATTTACATAAGGGACAGGCAGCTTAGTAAGACTGGCAGAAAGGCCAGCTGCTGGCTCCCTGACAAGGAACAGCGTGTCTCACACACTTAGAGCTGCCTCCCCATAGGCTGCCAGGCCCCAGAAGGAAGGGCTAGCTCACTCCGCTCCCCCATAGCATCCCACCAGCTGGTCCACATCCCCAACTGTGGCCCAGAGGGCCAGGAACCGCGGCAATGCCGGGCAGCAAGGCAGCTTTGACATGGTCCTCGAAGGGAATCCTCCCCTCTCTGACCCCCTTCATCCTTTGCTAGCAGCAGACAACCATTGGAAACGTGTGGCCACAGGCTCTGAAACGCAAAGCAGACGGCAGGGCAGGGAGACCTGCTCGCTCGTCCTTAAGGCCAGGTACGGAAGCTCATGCTTGTGAGCCCAGCACTTTGGCAGGCCAATGTGAGAGGAATGCTTGAGCCAGGAGCTCGAGACCAGCTAAGACAACACAGCAAGCCTCTGTTTGTAATTAAAAAAAAAAAAAAAAAAAAAAAAAAAGCAAGTTTGGACATGGTGGCTATTTCCTGTAATCCCAGCACTTTGGGAAGCCAAGGTGGGAGGACTGCCTGAGCCCAGGAATTCAAGACCAGCCTGGACAACATAGCAAGATCCCATCTCCACAAAAAATATAAAAATTCACTGGGTGTGGTGGCATATACCTTGGTTCCAGCTACTTAGGAGACTGAGGTGGGAGGATTGTCTGAGCCCGGGAGGTTGAGGCTACAGTGAGCTATGATTGTGCCACAGCACTCCAGGCTGAGCAACAGAGCAAGACCCTGTCTGTTTAAAAAAAAACAGCTGGGCGCAGTGCCTCTTGCCTATACTTCCAGTACTTTGGGAGACCGAGGTGGACAGATGACAAGGTCAGGAGTTCAAGACCAGCCTGACCAATATGGTCAAACCCCATCTCTACTAAAATTACAAAAATTAGCCAGGCATGGTCGCACATGCCTGTAATCCCAGCTACATGGGAAGCTGAAGCAGAAGAACTGCTTGAACCTGGAGGTGGAGGTTGCAGTGAGCCGAGATTGCACCACTGTACTCCAGCCTGGGCAACAGAGTGAGACACTGTCTCAAAAAATAAATAAATAAAAATAAACACAAACAAACAAAAAGACACACCTTTTACCCAGGACCATTTGCTCATGACGCTTTTCAAACAAACCCCTGGTAGTGCTGTCCAGCTGGAGCTGGGCTGGGGCCACCCTCTCCCACACGGGAGTGGGCTCTGCTCTGTGCGAATCCCCCAATCCCTGCTGACTCCGCAGCTCCCAAGGACAGTGTTGCCTCATCAGTTACTCAATGCCCAGGACGAACAATGAAAACTCTTACCAGAATCTGTCCTAATGGAACTGAGATAACAAGCAAAGGACAGAGAGAGCCACAATTCCGACGCCAGACAGGCATCAGGCACTCAGTGTCTGTGTCTGATTTGCCCAATATGGGAGTACCCAGCAAGAGGAGGGCCATGTTATTAAAGGGAATTACAGTGACACATATTGATCCTGCCACGCAAATTTGATTCACTGTTTGGGGTCCGTATTGGATGGGGCTGACATTCAAATCCTCAGGGGTTCCCCAGTATTACAAAGCTAAGCTAGTGTGGATCCTGCTTTGTGCTCTGCAGACCATCCGCAGGAGATTCCTAAGAAACAGGACTCCAGAGCAGAGTGGTGGGGAGGACGAACTGGGCCAGGTGGGGATGTGGCTGGGCCAGAGCGAGGTGCAGGGAGCAGGTGCGTGGAAAGTCTGCTCCGCAGCCTGACTCTGCTGCAAGTTCTGGATCTCGCCTGTAAGCCAGGCGCACAGACTCACCCTTCAGCCTTCTTCTGTGGCACCGCCCCTGCCTGGAGGTTTTGAGATGTGACCCTTTTGTCCCCTCCTCCCCGACACACGCACCATTTGCCAGTTACCTGGCTGGAAACCTCATATTCCACATGCTTCAGGAAGAGGCCCTTCTTCTCCGGAATGAGCTCCACCTGCACAGTGTCCCTGGCCAGCAGCTCCTGCAGGCTGTGGGACAGCAGCAGTGGGTTCCCCTGCGGCATCTGCATTCGACTGGGGGCTGGGGCCCGCTGCACAATGGCCTGGGGCTCCACGGCCTGGGGTGTTGGCAGGTCTGCAGGAGAAAGGGGGAATGACCAATGACAACAGCTGCTCAAAAGGTGAACCTTGGCCGGGCACAGCGGCATGCCCCTGTAATCCTGGGACTTTGGGAGGCCGAGGAGGGAGGATCACTTGAGCCGTGGAGTTCACACCAGCCTGGGCAATATGGTGAGACCCTACCTCTACAAGAAATAAAATAAATTGAAAAGTAGAGGCCAGGCACGGTGGCTCACACCCGTAATCCCAGCACTTTGGGAGGCCAAGGCTGGCAGATCATGAGGCCACAAGATTGAAACCATCCTGGCTAACAAAGTGAAACCCTGTCTCTACTAAAAATACAAAAAATTAGCCGGGCGTGGTGGCACACACCTGTTAGTCCAGCTACTAGGGAGGCTGAGGCAAGAGAATTGCTTGGACCCGGGAGGCGGAAGTTGCAGTGAGCCGAGATTGTGCCACTGTACTCCAGCCTGGGCGACAGAGCAAGACTCCATCTCAAATAAATAAATAAATAAATAAAATAGAAAAGGGGAGCCTCCCTCTGCTGTGTGTTAGCTCAGCATGTGGACTCTGGCCCAGCAAGTCCCATCCTGAGCCAGGCACACTCATTCTTTCACACTACAAAGTCAACACTGGGGGTACGTTCTTTTCTTCAAAAAAATCATGGTGGTCAGGCACCATGGCTCATGCCTGTAATCCTAGAACTCTGGGAGGCGGAGGCTAGAGGATCGCTTGAGCTCAGGGGTTGGAGACCACCCTGGGAAAGACGGCAAAACCCCACCTCTACAAAAAATGCAAAATTAGCCAGGCATGGTGGCTCACTGGCTAAATTTATAATCCCAGCTACTCGGGAGGCTGAGGTGAGAGGATCACCTGAGCCTGGGAGGTCGAG